TAGAGAATCAATGTAGTGACATACCTATTCGAACCAACGTGACACCGCAGAGTGTTCGCTGAGATACTTCGATATATAGGTTTGCATGTATTATACAGGATGTTTAACTATGTGTTCTAATTTTACCCAGGTGTCACCTTATAGTGGTTTTTAAGTATTTTCAGGTTCATGGTGATCTACTGTCTCCTCATAATAAAGCAACCGTGTGTGTGTGTGACATTGGTCCGGCGGAAGTTACATAGTGGTTGAGTGTGAGAACTATTTGTGACACATGATTACTGTAGATGGGCCTATGTCCTGGGTACTTCAGATCACCAATTAGTTTGACCCTTGATGCGCTGTATTGCAGTGTTACTACAGTGTAACACATAAATCTATATGTGCAGATCTGAAATAGTCGTTGACAAATTATGTTCTAGGAGGATGCTTTATATTGTGTGTATGAGAATATCAGAAGACTCGGTGAGCTGTGAGGCGTGAGGCAATTATAGAATTATAGTAATATCACTAATAGTATTGATGTATCACTTTGCTTGTGTGATCTTGGTATTTTGGTGATCCTAAGGTAAACACATCAGTGTAACTAATTCTACTTTTATTAATAGTGTTTCTTTCATTATTGATGCGACGCATATTAAAAACATAAGGACTGCTTATGTATTAGTGAGTCTTAGTTTGTATTGTCACCTTGTTTGTTGATTTCCATACTCTCTTTTTCCATTTATCTAAAGTTATAGTTAAAGAGTCAGTGACTAGTTATCTATTTTACGTACTCACATCTGTCTTTCACGGTCTTTACTATAACATCAGCATTGTGAGATTCTTGAGAGCACTTTCTCTGATCCGATCGTATTATTGTGATTTCACCGACCGGCCACTATCTGACCTGCAATGATCTCGCCGTCGGGTGGTATTACATTGTAGCAGCACGCCTTATAAGTGTTACTCGTCGAGTGTAATTATAGGGACCCGAGTCAGCATCGGTGTCGACGTGATCCAAGTACCCTGACCTGAGATCTTAACAAGTCAGAGAGTGACATTCGTTTAAAGTATACGGGATGAGCCATTTTGCTAATCTGCATACCCAATTCTATCTTCCTAAATTCATAACAGGGACCTTGAAAAAGCTTCACATTCTATACACTAATAGACCTTTTGGGACTGTGGAATTTCTCCAGGCATTTGTGTGCTGTATGCCTGATACGCTGTGACCTCTGTGTGAGCTGAGCGATACAATAGAGTGTTGAGATTTAATACTACTCATCTTGGAGATGTCCGATGCATAAAATCAGCAATTATATCGGTATGGTGTGGTCTGTGTTGTCGAGGGAGACGTGTTGGAGTTACTGCGAGGAGTATTTCATTCTCAGAGGTTTTATGAATCAGACGATTGTGTAGATTCGTATATTCAAGGTATACAAGCCTGTTCACTCACTACAATAAGGCCATTATACTATCTTCTCTGACTGCTTTTAGTTGTGTGCATCTTTAGCATCTAGTATGCATCCTCATCCATGGGTAGAGGGTCAGGATTTCCCTGGTCATTCGATGACTGTCCAGCGAGTGTTTCATGCTACCTTCTCCACGATAAGAACAGGCGTGGTCAGTTACACCACGTATTAGGCCTCTCCCTTATATACTGTCAGACTGTGGTCGATGGCTTTTACTGTTATATTTCTGGCTCATAGAGACGCCGTTATGTGGGTACCGTAGACTTGTATATGACTCACTCAGACACTGAGCTTAGATTATACGCTATCATCAGTCTGATGGTTTAGTGATTGAGTAATGGCTGGTTCACCGAGAGACGGCGTGTGTTTCATACTTCTTACTCCGTGTCAGCGCCTAGAGACCTGTACGGCTGATCTGTCCTACTTCCGCAGCGATATGTCACTCCACCAGTCATAAGAAGGACCTCGTATCCTGTAACAGTAAGCGATGGGGTTCTTCTCGTGTGGTGCAGTCTATACATGTTACATAAGGGTATGGGCAGTTCACGATAGTGACCTTAAGTATATCGTGTGTGACCATTATTCACGTGGAGGTGGATCAGAGTTCTACATATATTTCGAAAGTTCATATATTTGATAGTACTGTCAGTTAGACACACTTTTAATATTTGAGATATTGTTCACACCTAAAACAATACATAGTGTATCGAGAAGTAAATGTGTAGCCTCCATTTACTAAGCTTATATTGTGTGGGATCCCGTAGCCGATACCTAGTATTGCCCTGTTATAGACACAGAAAAGAAAATCAAATCCACCTCGTTTAGAATAGTGTGTAATCAAGCCCCCTCAGATCATTGTTTTTCTATTGCATATTGCTGTGGACGCAGATGGTTCTGCCTTTATGTTAATCCAGGCAATCTTTGACAGATGTTGTGGCGCTCATGAACTTCTACTAGTTGATAATGGTGAGTATTGGATGAAATTTTTGCTTGCCTGTACCGATTGCAGATATTAGTGTGTAATATTTATAATAAGGAACCACGGAGATTACCACTTGAGTGAATTTGAGGTGGTGGGTTTTATTATTATATTAGATTTTGATTTGTTTGTGTGCTCTCCAGAGATAAATCGAAGAATAGCTTAGACATGGTGTACCGAGTCTTTACAATTCTATGAGTATTGCTCAACCTCTCCATGTTATCTCAATAAAAGTATTTTTTACTCTCTATGCTGACTTACTAGATCTCATTAACGCTCTTCATCTGGCAGCTGTCTGTGAGTGAGTGCCTTATTATCCCGCATTTTTTATTTTTTCTTTGAGTTATGACACAGCACAGTGTCTCGAACTCATACTACTCAGAGTGTACGAGCTCTGTTATTATACGCATACCGCTCACGGCATGACTTCTGGCGATTCATAGCTCGTCATGGGGTTGTGACTACTCTCAGATTCTACTTTCCTTACGAACTTTCTCGAGAGACTATTTTGAACCTCTGTGCGTGCCCATCTAGGCTAGTGACGATGTCCAACTACTTACATTGATCCATTGTACATTTACTATTGACTCTGCTATCAATTATCTAACTTATTTAGAAGTGTGGTGAGACTATATATTGTGCGTTTAAATCTTGATAGAGTGTAAGTTTATCAATCTCTACGTGCTCTATTATCCTATTACGCGGTCTGTGTAATGTCCGTGTCTCTTCGGTACCATTTCTCATTATATTTGTGTTCACTTTGCCCTTTTCCCTGCGAGTATATATAATCGATATCCTTTCATATTATTTACGCTTATGGTCTCAGGAGATAGAACTATATAGGGTGCTTATATTTTCTGTGTGACGTCCGCCAGATTTATTTGAGCACAGAGTTGTCGTTTCCTGTGAAACAGTCTATTGTGTGTGTTTGCTGTAGCGACTATCATTATGATTTCGTAGATTTGAACTTGGGACAATTCATCTTTGGCAGACAGTGCTATGACTTGCTAGACCTTTTCTCTGTGTATATCTTCATGCTGACAATATTTATGCTGATTTGCTTTGAATTATTTCCAATGACTTATCATTTTTTATTAAACCTTTTGACAGTGTATATTCCATGTGGCCGATCTATAGATCGATATTTTGTGGCCACTAATCTCATGTCTTGTCTCGCTTGAATCTTTTCTCTTTCCGTATATCATGGCGGAGCTACTATAGCGCCTTGTCATTTTAAATCAAATGAAATGGAGCCTTTTCTTCGTGTGCTCTTGTGAAAATATTTGGTGCCCTTTCTTTTTCCTACTCGCTCAAATTGCTTCGCATTAATCACTATTATTTGTGATTACATGATATTTATATCGAATATTGTTAAATAGAGTCTACTATAGAGTGAATTCACAATCTTAACTCTTTGATTATAAGAGATACTCATCTAAGTGAGATTAAAGTGCTATCTTTATCTCTTATCTGCTTGAGAGTTGACAAACCATAGACCATCTGCCGTCTAAAGAAGCTTATTTTGGTGCTTTCTGCTCTCGGAAATAGGTCACAGTGTAGCATACGCCGTATAGTCCATAGAATTTGTGTATCACATGTTATACTTTATTGAACGGATTATACACACGGGCTTATTACAGTGGAGAGATTTTTGATACTGAGCCTATGGAATTTACATTAGTCTTTATTGTGCACGTGATGTGACCGATACAGTTAACATAGTCAGCAAAATATAACAAAGTCTTTCCTTATTTCCTATAGAGAATATTCTCTTATTTGTCACTTTCCATATATCCTGTGTGGATGAAAGGTTCAAGTGCCCTCATTACCATGTTTTGCACTATATATCAATAAAGTGGGATCATCCGACTGTGAGATTTGCTTAGGCTAGTGTTTTGTTAACACTTAGTAGCAGTGTATGTGCTAAGTGTCGCACCATATTATTTTATATATCGCTATATCTGTGATATGTGCTAATATAGATAACAACTCTATGTGATTTCTACCTTCAAATATTACAGAGGAGTATACGGTATAATATGTATCATAAACGTGAGGTAATAATTGTCACTTATACGTATCAATATAGTATAGTGTAGGGATTTTCCATTCATAGGAGAGTTTGTTACCAAGTGCGTGTCCGCTCGGATAGTAGGTCTCACGATTGTATTACCTGGTTAACGTGTATAGTAGTGAGTGGATAGTGAGATGAGACGACACAAAGTACAGATGCATACATACCCTAATAGAGATAACAGATTCATCATACCAACTAATTTTATTTTCATAGCAGAACCGTTTCGCTAGCGTGTATAGAATGCATCTCCAAGAACGTTGTTTAATGTTACAATCATGAGTCCTAGATATATTTCGAAATGTCTAAAGGATCTGATCTGGAAATGATCCCTTTTTGAAGTGTGCTATTCCTGTAGAGATAAAATCAAAGTAAAGATCCAACTAGTACTAACTAATCTAGGAATGAATTAAATAAATTCCACAGAATCTTTCTTTCCTTTCAGTATTGTAATAACTCCAAATATTATAAGTTATGAACGTGCAATATTATACAGGCATATATGTGGAGACTTACCAAGGTAATCACTGGACCATGGAATTAAAGATATATGCTCACAGAACTATGTCCAGATTGCTGGTTACCGAACTCACTGTCCAGGCAAACGGGAACCATTCAAGATTGTTCGTATCTTTGGACGTTAATAAAGGAAATGACAGCGAAGATATAGATTTTACACGTGCACCTAGCGGACTAAACGATACCATGTAAATAGGAGCTTTCACTTTCGAAAAATAACAGTATATCTAATATTACTAAAACTATATTTGAACGTCCTCAACAATAAAGCTAAATTTACTGTTTGATGGACTTGTACTATGTTGAATTTGTAACTGTGTATTGTTGACTTTCGAATTTTAGTTTAAAAAAGGTACTAAAGCTCTGCAATCTGCTATATACTTTTGTATTAACTATATGCACCTCTAAGACGATTGCATAACATCGGTGGCGTAGAATATGCATTTTCGTTGCTTAGCAACTGTAAGCCCTAGTATAGTGGGATGATATACGAGGCTTTTAATCCTGAAACTTTCTGTTTTAAGTCTTGAGAATATCAACATGAAAAGTATATAAATAGGTAGCCAGTAATATATGGTCTGGTCAGAATTCTAAAATCGTCTTGGTCTTAACTGCCATCAGGACAGTATATTAGTGCGTTCATAACCATAATGAGGAACAAAGAAACAACAACCATTGCTTTAATCAATCATTTTCTTACTTAATTTTAGTTATATTTCTAACATTAACCAAATACAATGCTTTGTATCTAGGTATATGCATGGATTAACGAAGATTGCCGAAACTCCGGAATCTGGTCGGACGCCAGTCCACGTGTATTATAGTCGGGTTCCGAACAGCGTTGTTATAGAGGCGGGAAAAACTGCAACAGTTAAACACACTTTTCTTATGGCTGTCGGTCGTTATAAGGATGAAACTAAGAAGTTTTACAAACAAGGTTTGATCTTTAACATAATTTAAAAGAAGAACAGAGATTGATTGATCTTTGTTGTTATTGTTCATAATTTTGGCTTCAATTTTTATTTTGCTGTTGTTGTTATTTTGTTGATGATGATGCTGATGATGATAATGACGACGACGATGATGATGATGATGTTGATGATGATGAAAATGATGATGATGATGATAGGCATCTCATTTTATATTATTAAACAAATAAACATTTACATAAATGGATTGTAAAATAAAGAGATAAATACATTATGAGGGCAATCAACTCTATACCACACTTTCTGAGCATCTCCGAAGTTTGCCGACTTAATACTATTAACACATTTTGCTCACAGGTATTGGAATGCAGCTTAACGATACTTTGGAATCAACTCATAGGAACGCTTGGCACGAGGTTTGGGACGCTGGTCGGGTTGATATTTACGGCAACACCTACCTGTCGGCACTGACCTACAGCTCGCTCTATTATATATTTAGCGCAATGCCGACGGTCGAGGAAAAAACGTGGCCGTTCGTAGGATTGTCACCGGCGGATTTAGCTCATGACGTAAATATATCGTTTAATCATGCAGTGTAATGTGCTTAGTGCTAATTAAATAAGATATTATTACTAAACACTCATAGCTTCCATGAAATTCGTTTAAAATCCATTAAATCAAAAGGGAATAAAATCATTATACGTGTACTTGTATATGGAATAAACATAGCAATTTGATCAAATAAGATTTACATTTGTTTCCACAATTGAGATGAACGTCACAATATTTCAAATGAGCTTGACAATGCTATCATATAAGCAGAGCAATTTTTCAAATAACATAGACATATATTAACTGCATAAGCATTGAATATCTTATAAATAAGCTTAACTATAACATTGAATGAGTAGGCATGGTAACTATGCCATATCACTTTATCTATATAAATGAGCTTGATTACTATAAGAAATGAGCTTAATAACGATATCAAAAAGCTTAAAAAGTACTAGTATATGAAATGAGCTTAACCACTACTCATACCAGTATAGCAATTGAGCTAAAAAAAGCTACAACTATATCAAATGAGCTCAAAAAGTATATCAAATGAGTTATATATGATATACATTTAAACCCTTACTTTGTGTGTATTTTAACGTTGAAATCCGACCAGAATTCAACGTTGTTACAACGTTGGTGAGCCTGCTGGGGTGTATTTTTACGCCAAATTTCTTTAACTTCTTGTATAGTAACCAAATACTCAAAGTTGTAGTATCACATAATGAGATATAAGTGAAATAAATATACCATAATAATAAATTAGGAGAGTTTTGTTTGATTCATTTTTCTTTGTTATCTAATTTTATTTGAAGGGTTATAAAGGACACATCTTTTGGGATCAGGATACATGGATGTTTACGCCAATATTACTACTCAATTCTAATCTAGGAAGGACAATAGTTAACACACGTATCCGTGTGCTCGATTCCGCCAAGGAATATGCGAAACGAACATCTTTTGCTGGAGCGAGATTCCCGTGGGAAGGCGCTTTGTCAGGTACTTTTGATCAATATCTGCCCCGTGTTCGTGTGGCTAAAGGCGCCAACTTAAACAATATGTCAATAACCAACCATTTGGTTTGAAACTACAGTAACCCAAGAGTTGACTTATAAATATAGGGGCTAATGGTACTGTCGTTCTAACAAATTGCCTAAAATAATGGACAGAAGACCATCTTTGCTCAGTCGTGTTAGCTGAAAAGTTGCCATTATGGTGAAAACATTGATTTTGCCACCTAAGAAGATTATATTTCATTAAAATATATAATTTTCTAGATCCAGCAATGAATCAATATAAAACGTCGTCATCGTCTGCTATAATTTAAGTCATATTTTAACATAAAATATTTTTTAGATATAGATTTATGATTGTTACTCGTATATTCTACTTGAACGTTCTCTTATTACTTTTTGCGACGGACGCGCCCTCAGGCGCGTTCAGAGCTAAGTCATCTACACATGGGATTTCGTTGGCTACACTCGCGCAATGTGTCCTAAACCAATTAACAGCCCAAGAAATAGTACATGAATTTGATCCTTCAAAACTCCCATACTTTGTCTGGATATCTTAATGTCTTCCATATTTAGCCTTTTCAATTTCAAATTAAGTTATCCAAGTTAAAATATGAACGTATATTATTGATAAAAACGTTGTAGTCCCGTAGTATTATTGCGCAATATGCAAATTACTGCTGAAACGATTTACCGCTGTCGAAAAAGTAGGACAGCAAATTATACTACAATAAAGGTGTAACCTCTGAGTTCCAAGACATTATTAGTAGGAAATAAATATTTCTACATTATACAAAACATTATTATTAACAAATCAAAAGTTTTTCGTGACTCTAGGATAACTCGCGCATTAATAAAAGAAGAACTATTTTCGTGACTCATACCGCGGGTTTAGCTGAATATTCAGCAGTTATTAATATATTCCCAGCAAACACCCGACGTTGACACAACGTTGGATCAACGTTGAATTTTAGTCGCGACGTCGGTGACCTTCATACAACGTTAAACCAACGTTGAATCTCCGACGTCTAACAGACGTTTCATTTTGACGTCGATTCGACGTCGGGTTTTGGTCGGTAATCTGACAATATGTGAATCTAATTTATGAAACCAATATATATATAAATGAAAGCATAAACAGCTAGAATTTTAAATTTAAGTTTAGAAAGGGAAAATGATATATTTATTTTCTCCATCAAAACAATACAGTATCACGTGGGTGGTTACGTACGATATTCGATAGGTGGCGCTCGGTAAACGGATAGTCGCAGATCAGTATGAAATATATTTGCTCTATTTTCGTTTAAATCATATCTTATCTCCTCGAATTAGTCTAAGAAGTGTTTATATAATTTACAATGAAGTTGTTATCATTTTTGAGGGCTTTAATTATTTTATAGTGGTAAATAATTTAGTAAATTCGAATTGGCGACATATATCGGATTTGAAATTCAAGTGTATTGGCGGACAAAAAAACAACGAGTTGACTGACAAAGTTGAATATTCCAAACAAAATGAAAAGGTAGGCAAACATTATATATTGTTTTTCAATGCTTATTTACCGCATGTTTGCATGGATTCGATGGCTCTTTGATCATTGTAATGTTTGACTGGTAAAACCTAATGTCACGTGATTTCGCGAGATAAACATTTTTGTTTCCTCGTACGAGCACTATAATATTTACTATAGAACAGTCTGTATCACCACACTATATAGCCAGGCCAAATAAATGCACAAACAATGGTAGGAAATATCCTAGCAATTGAAATCAATAAAAAGTTAAATGCAGTACGTTAGACTCTTATTATTCAAATGCTGGTAAATAAAATTCCCTCTTATTTCTTATCAGCATGAATTTCCCTTACATAAGGGGCCAGTCATTTACACATGTATCAGATGCACAGTTTGATTTTGATATCTGTGTAGTTGTAAAACTACTCGTTGTTAATTGAAGTACTTTACCAATACTGTAAGCATACCATGTGTTTCTTATATAATGATAATGATTCATGGCATTTGATACATGTAAATGATACGACTTTGGTAAGATATATCTGAAAGCACATTGTTTTTGACTAGCTATCTTTTTATTAATGTAATCAAACAACATATTATAAATCAGAAAACACATTATCATAGTTACATAAATCAATAAAAGTAATAGTTTGTTAATTAGGCTGCTTATCAACAAGTTATATGTTCGTATCATAAAACGTGTGTACACTAAGCCAGTCTGTCCTATATACACTTAGCTGATCGGATCATGCTGGGCAGAGATGATATCTATAAAAATGACAGTAACATGTGAATTTCTTTGATGTTGTATGAAAATTTGTATAAATTACATTGAATATAAAAAATACGATATCAATTTTTTGCGGGAGTAGAATTAACTTGGTATTTGTTATGTTAGTTTTTCATGCCCTTATGAGTTAACTAAGATTAATAATATTTGGATTTTGCCTATTGTATTAGACAAACATCCTTCCACCACATGGTTAAATTCTAAAATGATTATATTTCGTCTTTCAGATTGTGGAAATTATGATAATTCAACATCTGGCAAAAGTTCAGGAGGAAGATGAAAGTATTAAGAGGAAAAGAAAAATGAAAACCTACCAAGATTTTGTGACAGGTATATTTCAAAATATTATAGAAAATACAGTGATCTTATTACCCTTGATTTTATATAATGAAATTCACGAAGCCATTTTTATCAAAATCAATAGATATATAGGTACACTTAACTACATATGGTTTAAACTAGATAGAAAATAATAAATATCTTTTTTTAAGTAGTTGGAGAGTTTGTCAGAATTTCATTTAATTATAATATGTAAAAGTGATTTATTTCTTGCACTTGTAATTGATTATTTTATTATTTAATTTCAGAAAGTGTGATGAGATTTCAGGTTGGAGACGGTAATGATACGCTTAAACTTTAAAGTATGCCCCAGACACAGTGTAGGAGGACGAAAGAAGATACATAAACATTGCTATTTATAATAATGACAAAATATTCAGAATATTGTTCCATTTAACATTCAGATCTAGATTCAGTTATAAAATACAAAGGCAAATATACAATCAGTGAACTGGATAGATGATTGGAAAATCCCAAAATCAGGGTGATCAGTTCATGATCAGTGGTGATATAAAAAACACATATATGGATGTTTACTATACAAAATGTCAGTGGTAATATTCAAGAAGGATTTTGTGTATCTAATTTCTAAAACATGCTTATTTAATACATAAAGCGTTATTAAAGTACATACTTTCAAGTTTAATAGTTTCAAAAATATATTGTAAATCTTGCATTTGTTATCGTATCACATTTCTTGTTTGGAACTTGTGATTCCGAGTATACAAATAAATTGCTAAAATTATAAGAATGCTTATTTGTTTACCCTATTATTAAAAAATCGTATTCCAAAAGTTTTGAATGAGGTTAAAGTCTAAATCATGGTCAGAAAATTTGGTCAGATAAGGTTGGATTATGGTCAGATAATGGTCAGAAAAGGTTGGATTATGGTCAGAAAAGGTCGGATTATGTCCAAATAATGGTCAGGAAAGGTTGGATTAGGGTCAGATAATGGTCAGAAAAAGTTGGATTTTGGTCAGAAAAGGTTGGATAAAGGCCATTATATGACGTTGTATAGACGTCGGTTTTCTGACGTCTAAAAAACTTTCAAATCCAACCTTCTGCCAACGTTTACCCAACGTCAGGGTCTAACGTCAGTACAACGTTGGTACAACGTCTTTTGTTTGCTGGGTTAGATACAGTTCAATGGCTAGTATAAATATCTATTTTTGAAAATGCATGTAAGACACTTTACCGCCATGTAGTCTTGAAATCATGGTAAGGAAGTTATAATATCAGTTCTACTTCCGATTCTTGTGGTTTGTTTACATATTTTACTAGGTCATGATATGAGTTAACCTTCGATATTCTAAAAATAGATTCTGCTTTACCTGTTCTGATTTTTGGACAGGCGATTAGGAAGTACACATTAAACATGTAATTAATAAACCAGCGGATTGTAATGCAATACTTTTAGAAATGCTATACAATTGTAAGAAGCAAACAAGTTGAAAATGGAATTTAGTGTGAAGTTGAAAAGGACAACTAAACACTGTAGTGCTTAAGTGACACTTAAATTAAAATAAAAACGATGTGCTCTGGCCTCTACATCTTTACCTTGTAAATAAAAAAATCTAAGGAATACACTATTAATTGCTGATGATTTTAACCAATTTTTTTTTAATGAGACATATCCAAGAGAAATGAAAATACAAATGACTTATATTTTATTGTCTGTATGCCCACTATGATATAACACAAAGCAATTCTAAATAGCATTCTCAAATGTACAATGTATTATGTTTGAAGTTTATTTGCCTGGATTTATTCTAGAAATATTTCGTTGATAGTTTTTTTTCTATTTACATATCATTTCTTAGAATAAATCGATAAGGACACTGATTTACAAGTTTGACCAGAGTTTTTAGGCATACATTTCATTCTGTATTTAAGTGCTTGAAAGTAGAAAATCTGAATTATATCAATTTGGGACACAAAATATATTGCTCTACAAATCTCGAACTTGTATGGAACAAATTTTCTCTGTTATATTTTGTGTTTTGTTTTTGTTTTGTTTTGTTTTTCTAAAAGAAGCCTTGGTGTCTCTCCGGTTGCATGTCCGTCGCATTCAGTGCTGCAGCACTTTGATTTGCTCTTAGGATGCATGTTCGTAATTAATTCCCCAGCCTATACTTACATAGCATGCCTAAAGATAGAATCGTGTATAATCTTGCATTTTCTATCAGCTAGATTTTTTCATAATCCTAATGCATATCATTATGTAACGTTTGCATGTTTTTTACGCCACAAACGTAGGGTTTGACGTTACACCATGGTTTAGCGGCGAGTATGAAGATCACGTGACCGGTGACGTTGCGCAAGCGTTCCAGCAGTATATTATGCTAACCCATGATACTCGGATTCTATTACATGAGAACATGAGCGACGCCATCTTTGCAATGGCTGACTTCTGATTTCCCGCTCTTCCTATGACGTCATGCATGACACATATAACATTTTTGGTAAACACCTTTTACGACATTTATTTGATTAGTACATGTATTTAGCATGTCTAAACCCTTGCAATAAGGTTTTGAATTATATTTTTGAAAAAAATGCTTCTTAGGGTTAGATGTGACGCCAAGTAGAAACCGTGCGGGGAATACGAGGTGCATATATCCGGTGACGTAGCGCTTGCTTTTCAACAGTACCTAATGGACTACAAGAGATGTGCAAATGTTAAAAACCGGACGTATTGAGGAGGCCATATTTGATATAGCGGACTTTTGGATATCTCGCACTGTAAATAATACAAAACAGAACGTATATGAAATTACAGGTGTCTTTAAAAAAAAGTTTGATATTTTCAAAAAGTAGATTAGAAATCTAATTTTTATTCTGTATTGTTCTGTGGAATTAAATAAATAGATCTACACAAAATGGTCGTTTATGAATTTAAAATAAATTTGTAAATAAACTTCAAAAAATTTGATTCAAACAAGTTAGAAATGATATTAAAATATATTAATAATATACAAATTATACATGTATTTTAAAGTGAACGTTTGTGTTTTTAATTAGTTTTAATGACTCGAGAAGAACCTCTTTTCATAAGCTTCTTTTTTGTGACCATTTCCAGATGTGATGCCGCCTGATGAGTACCACTATCCCGTAAACAACTCCGTTTATACCAACTTCCTCGCTCAAAAATCATTGTTACTGCCATCATACGTTTGTGAATTAACCGGATGTCACGTGCCACCAAAGTATGCGGATGTTGCGCGTAGAATTAAAATTCCATTTGATAGCAGCCGACAATATCACCCCGAGTTTGACGGCTATAACACCAGTAAGTGCATTCTTAGGATTGAATAACTTGTGCGCACCTCTGCAGGTAATGACCTACTTGATATTTTGTACATTTAATGAACGGAATTTCAAAAAGAATCGGGATTCCATGAGTCAATAAAAATTATTTAAACCTCAGGGAAAAATTTTCTAACTCTTTAAATAATATGGGCTAGGGTAAAAATTTAAAACTTTTAAAGGGAAAAATCAAAAAGCGTCGTTTTTTGAAGAGTGAGGGCCACATTTGAGGGTCATGTCGGTTTTTTAAAAACCCAAAGGGATTATCCCTTTTGCTTTGCATGAAATTTGGGGTAGCCTTTGACTACGTGTAACCCCTTTGGGAAAAAAAATTTTAAGTCAAAAATATTTTTAATAAAAAGGCGCTTATCCTTTTAAACTTTCTTTGGAAAAACTATGTTTGGGGTATTTCGCCCTTTAAAATTTAAAACACGAACCCCAGTATTTTTTACTGAAATGTAAAAAATTAAAATTTTTTTTCAGGTTATTACATTAAAACAGGCCAGATGTTATATTGTTAGGATGGCCATTGGAGATGAACATGTCTGAAGAAATAAGACGAAATGATCTTGAAATATATGCAAAGGTGAGCAGTTAATGGAAAGAAATTTACAAAAATACATATAAATATGACTGGGTGCTTGCACTAGTTGTCGTTCTTGCGTGACGGTATTGGTAAACAATATAATTTCGTGGGAAAAATGGGTAAAACTATAGTTTCGTGGACAAAAATACATATAAATCTGACTGGGGGCTTGCACTAGTCGTTCTTGCGTGACAATATAGTTTCGGGGACAAAATGGGTAAAACTATAGTTGTGTGGACAAAATCGGAAAAAACTATAGTTGCGTGGACAAAATGGGTAAAAACTATAGTTGCGGGACAAAATGGTTAAATCTATAGTTTCGTGGACAAAATTGGTAAAAAATCTATAGTTGCGTGGACATAATAGGTAAAAACTATATTTGAGTGGACAGGATAGGCAACAACTATAGTTGCATGGACATTGGACAAATTGCTTATTATTCTTTTAAATACCATTGACAGTAATGCATACATAACAAGTAAAAAATACTGTGTAAAATTGATTGCAACTGAATACCATTGTATATGGAACATGTGCAATTTGGATCAATATTTTCATATATGTTAAGTTATAAATATTTTTCATGTTTTAAAAGTAAGATAGGAATTTATTGAAGAGAGAACACTTTGACTGATTCCCATGATTGTCAATCTTGAAATTATATTTGAGACTACTCTTTGGTAGAAGTCCTCAAAATTGTCATCTTGACCTGCACACAAATGTCAATGTAGTGTAGCAGAATTCAGGGATATACAATATCGTTTCTAGAATAAACTATAAGATATATAGGTGGATGATATAATACTTAGATAAAATTTGCATTGCAATGTCACTTGCGTTATAACTACTTATATTCACAGGTGACACCAGGAGGGCCCGCCATGTCATGGGGAATGTTTACCATTGGATGGCTAGAGATTGGAGAATTTGACATCTGCCCAATAAAACATTTTATGATCAATTAAAGAACAGGCGGGATCCATTTAATGTAAAATATTTTACTATTTTGATGGTCAGTTTCAATAAAAAATAGAATTAAATTTTCCAATTACAGAAATAAAGCAGCTTACATTGAATAATATCTATAATTCGGAACACCTCGCAGATAATTTATTGTCATCCTGGAGATAATACTGATTTAAAGTAGTTCTACCATGTGACCTTTGGTGTAAATAAAAAACAGGGGATTTGAAGTCAAACCAATATAGCAATAGTGTAATTGTGTAACGAGTACACGGTTACTATCTTAGTTTAAAGTAATCGAGTAGTCTATGTTTGTTACGAGTAACATATATTGCGATTTTGTATATATATTGTGTTATTGTCTAATCTATGTAACTTTATATACCTTCAATTCTAGATTTGGACGCGAGAAACGCTGATGGCAGCGCGCACGACAAATTTTATACTGGCATGGAGGTTACTTACATTCACTTATCTGTTGGCTTATGCAGGCGTTCGGGTTGACAAGGATAGTCTTTCAGTTAAACTGTTCACCGTTTCCTTGATACCCTCTTCGTATAGGTAAATTAAAAGCGGCCTTCAGCTTTTATTTTCTGCCAGAAAAAAACAATTTCTGTGTAGTTTCAGACTAAGTATTTCAGTAATTTTATCTTGAAAAATTGCATCATATTAAATTATTATCATTATTATTCTTCGCAAAAACATCGTCACAACGTCAGTGACGTTCGTTTTCTAAAATAGAAGATTTGAAAAACGATTGTTGCGAAAAACGATAGATTTAGGTATTGAGGGGTTTCCTTATTAATTATTATTTTATCGTCGGCAAATTTCGTTTTTCTACGTAATTATTTGATGTGACAATTATATGAAACGAATTATATAAAAATAAACATATTTTTAACCTTTAGGCCGCTTTTAATGGTTATATAGCATAGCTAACATTACTTGTGTACTTGAATGCATGTACATGTATATATATATATATGTGACTATATAAAAACTGATTAATAATACGAGCACTGAAAGTAATGGAGTTATTGAAACGAGTTTATGTAGAAAAGATTGTTTTTCTAATGTAACATCACACAAAGATTGAGTTCTATAGAATATTTCTGAAAGATTGCATCCTAATGCTAATATACTTAAAGATGGAGTCCTAACAAAATAAATGCATAGCTTCAAAATCCAATCATTGCGTCATTACATAATATATGTCAAATAAGAAACGTCACGCATTTTCTTTTCTTTCATATGAAGGCTGAAAGACATTGACTATATAGGGAATTCCATAGACGTTCACGTTGCGATGACGTCAGCACAAAACTGACTCTTGTCCTCGGAAAACTGGCCATTGTTAAAGTAACATTGTCGACCACAGGGCAAACAACTTTTGATCTAAAAATTGGAACACCAGTCTGTGCCAATACAAAAGCTTATTATCACAGTCACGGAGAGTTCAGAGACGCGCATGTGCAACAAACATCCCTACTACTACTAGTACTACTACTACTACCTGCTACTACTCTATCATAACAAACAACAACAAACCACTTCAGGTCATCAACAAGTTAGACGATGCGTCGTTGTATAATGTCAACCCAACTTCGTGGACATCCTCTGTCTTACTACTACTACAGATCTCGTCATTTACCTTCTTTTTTTAAATTACACAATATTGTTCTATCCTGTTGGAACTACTATTTATGTTTGTGCTAGAAGTATTTTTGTTTTAAAGTATTATAAACAAATGTAAAAAAGCATATTTAGTGCGTCGTTTTATAGTGGTATCAAACACCACATTAAACCAAAACCCAAAACAAACAAACAGTTTTGCGTTATGAGGGATTTTTTTGGGGAACATGAATAGTTTTGCAATAACATACTATATACAGAGTTATTATTGTTTTTTACCAAAATATTTGTGATATAATAAAATAAAATTTCAAAATGTTTCATAATGATAATAAATTAAATAACCTACTTATAATTACCTTTTTAAAATAAACTTGAATTAAAATTGGAAAAAAGGCCGCGTCAATATAAAATATGCTTATAAACATTCATTCAAAAAGGAAAAAAACGAAAAAAAAACATTGACTGTATTTTGTCATCAGAATACTGGCTACCCCCGAAAAACCCAAGCCTCGACGTTTTTTAATTTTTTTTTAATTTTTATTTTTTTGGAAGGAAACGAGTACCATTTTTAATCACAAAATAAACCGGTGATGGGACATTTCTCCATTCTAAGACTATCCCCAAAAATTTGGACTTTCCAAACGTGTTATTTTTTAAAAATTTTCCCAAAAAAAAAACTTTGAAATACAAAATTTGACAAAAATACAAGTACATTATTTTAATTTTAAAGTTAACCTGGGCCGTAAAGAAAAAAACCCCGTAAAGTGACCACTATTGTGTGTGTGTTGATTTGTTTTTTTCGCCACCAAAAGCCATTTTTATGACCCCTTTACACATTTTTTTGGCTTCACTTTATCTATCCAAAATTTTGTTTTAATTTTTTTAGGGTTAATGTTTTTTATCCTAGCTCAGTGTAGCACCTTTAAATTCTACCATTCTCAGAAAATAGTTAATGTAAAAAAATTTTGCCATTCACCAAAATGAAAAAACGATTTTATTCAATGTGCTGACCTC